CAGGGCGGACGGAGGAGGAACGCAAAAGTGAGTGTATGGTACCGTAGCCGTGGCATTACAGAATATTGAGCGTCACGCTAGCGTACCTGCTCCAGACTATTAATGCAGAATGCAGAATGCCTAGCAGACGAGAGCCCAATCCAGCCCACCTGTCGGACAGAAGTAAAGCACCTAAAATTTTCTTAGTTAGGTAGGCTGCAGACAGGCGGACGGGAAAGTACGGGGGTCAGTCGCAGTGCGCCTTAAGGCACTCAAAGCACTTGTGCATGCCCCTGGCGGCCGTCCCGCTCACCCACCATCACCGGACGGAGGCAGAGGCCGTAGCAGGTGGCGGAACGGATCCGGGCGGAGCAGGTATGAGAACAGTAGCCCCGAAGCGGCAGGTGCGCGACGGGTTCGGCCGGCTCCTGGATCTGCACCCAGTTTGGGATCTCACAGGCTTTCAGACAGAAAATGTCCGCATACGGCCACCAAGCCGGACGGATCATTGTGCACTGGACAGACGGGAGCAGCGGGTTAATCAGCCATCCTTCGTCAGAAGTCCACGGACCGCGGTTGGCACGCCTCGCAAACAGGGGCGGAAGCGGATCGCGCCACATGTACTCGTTGGCCGGAAGCGGGGCATCCGTGACGGGGTTTGGCTGGACAGGCGGGTTGGTCTGCACAGTCATCGGCACGTCAGACGGCGTGGGTTCCACACGGACAGGATCCGTGATATCCGCCCACGGGTCACGATTGGACGGTGCCGGACCCTCCGGAACAGACGGAGGGGTGTTCACGATGAGGCTGAACACCGTGCTGCCCACCAGGTCATGCAGACGGGCTAACTCAGAAGCACGGAGTGCGGCCAGGGCTGGCGTGATCGCCTCATCGGAGTGGCCGAGCAATGCCCGCAAGGCTTGGGCAGCCGTAGGGCCCGGACGGGCCTGGTTGGTACGGGCTGTGCCAGACGGAGGCGGAAACGAGGTCTGCGATCCCGGTGCGGACGGGAACGAAGCCTGACCTCCGGACATGATGGCAAGATATGCTAGAGGCAAATGCTGGGAGCTTGGGCACTCAAAGGGCTGCAGGTAAAGCACGGCGCTTGTGCAGGCAGCAAGCATGCAGACCGCTAAGGCAAGACCGGACACAGCATGCAGACAATCCTCCGCGTCCTCCAGAAGCGGGACGGGCGGAGGAGAAATTTCTACCTGGCGGACAGGGTGGCGGACCACTAGTCAACTGCACAGGGAACAGGCAAAGTGAGGTCGGCACCCAGCTGGACCTGCAGCGGCAGCGGGCGGACCAGAACTAAGCACATCACGGACAGCCCCGCCTGGAAGGCGAAGGAGTCAGTGTCTCGGCAGCCTCGTGACCTGGTCAGAGGAGCGGACAGATGAAGCAGGAGGAGGCAGCAGGCCCAGCCTTCAGAAGGAGGACCCGAGCCAGCCAGCCTGCAAGCGGAGTCCAGACGGAACCGCTAACTGAAGAAGACACCCCACCTTGAACGCGAAGATGTCGCATCCATGGCTACGGACAGGTAAGTGCAGCACGATGCCCTAATGCAAACGGACAGAGCATGACCGCAACATGTGCACATGACGGCATGAAAAAGGACATGCAAAACAAAATGTCAGAAGTCCAAAATGCTGGTGCTGCACTATGCCTGCGAGCCAAGATGCTGCGTGGGCGACATGCTTGGCTTGCCGTTGCGTCTATGCATAAACATCACTGATCACAGCTCAAGAAACAGGGATAATGGAAAAGAAAATGGAAACTACTGTATAGTATATTGGGGTTAAATAGGGATAATGGAAAAATGGAAACTACTCTGAAACTTAGGTTTAGGATTTAGGTTTCACCATCATAAAGGGTTCGAGGGTTTAGGGGCTTGGGGGGGGCTTAAGGTTTTAGGATGAGGGTTTAGGGCCCTGGGGCTGGGTAAGACCAGGGTAAACGATTTCAGGGCTTGGGGTTGAGGCTCTAAGCACAGCGGACCTTTTGTACATAGTGCCGGTGAGGTCAATGAGCAAGAGTCAAACAGGCAAGTCGGTTGTGGACCCAGCTAGCTCAGAAGTCAGCTTGAGCTAAGGCTTTCAAATAACGCTGAAAACTTCCACGGGTTTAGGGGCTTGGGTTTAGGGTTCAGGGATTAAGGTTTTGGGTTAGGAAACGGCGGTCCGGGTCAAGGTTGATTTTGTTCGGGGCTTTTAGTTGAATGAAATAAAACTATATGGAACGACAAGAAAAGCACGTAAGATACGACAAGAGCTTTAAAGGCCCCTTTATGAAAATCCCTTCAAGGACAGTTGCTGTGGTGGGGAACCCTCAACCCTAAACCCTATGTAACCCATTATAGTAGTTTCCGTTTTCTTCTCCACCTATATAGCCCCAATATATCCCCATATGTAATTCCAGTTTCCATTTCATTTTCCATTTTCTTTTCCATTTGATTCTCCGTTATTGGGATCCCCAATATAACCCCCCTATGTAATTTGTACCCTATAATCCCTATAACACCCCAACATACAATAGTAGTTTCCATGTTATTTTCCATTATCCCCCTATACAATCCCTAAAATCCCTGTAGCTTCCATGTTCTTTTCCATTATTCCTATATAACCCCTATATCTCCCTATTCTGTCGAATTACCAAACCAAGAGCTAGACTTTTAGCCGCCTACCTCGAGGGCCTGGCCACCGACGGTTTGCAGAAGCGAGGGTTTAGGGTTTAGACCCCGCGACGTTTCATTGTCCATCCCCATGAACGCACGGATTTTCGGGTTGAGAGCGTTTTGGAGTTAGGGTTAGGTTTCAGGGCTGGCCTACACACCTGGTCATCAAGTACGGCCCGCAAAACGCCTGCAGCAATTAGTTCCTGCATGTCCGTTCCCGAAACTTGAACATGAATGGGAGGATTTGTTTGATCTTCATCATACCACATTCCTGGAGCTCACTGAAACTAGAAGCTAGCAAACTAAGGTTCATTCGGGCGCACGAATGATCATGTAGAAGACTTCTCGCTTAAATGCGCAGGCTGTTCTGCTGCAGCCCGTTCTCATTTCAAATGCAACCTTCGTACCTTAAAATGCGATGCAACCATTACCAAAAAAATCACTTCTATCTTCAGTTCCTGTATGCCAAATTATTCTTATAAATCATTATTGTTATTATTATATAGTAGTTTGCATTTTCTTTTTCATTATCCCAATATTAATCCTGTATTATCCCTATAATGGAGGTTGGTCTGTCCTAAACACCAATCGACTCAGAACAAAATGCAAAGTCCAAATGTGCAGGTTGCAATATTGAATGTCGTCAAACGTCATGGTCCCTTTCAACTTTGACAAACCCCGGCAGCGCGCGCCTCCAGTCGCACCGCTTTCCAGTCGACTTTTGTGTCTTGAGCCATAAAGTCACCCCAGCCTTACAGTCTCGGGTTTAGGGTTTAGGGTTTAGGTTTTCAGTCTTTTCCATTATCCCTATATAGCCCACTATACCAGATAGTCGTTTCCATTTTCTTTTCCATTATCCCTATATAACCCCAATATATTGCCTAAACCCTAAACCCTAAACCCTAAACCCTCAACCCTAAATAGTAGTTTCCATAATTTTGTCCATTATTATAGCAGGGTCAGCGGTTTAGAGTTGAAGCTCAAGGGATGCTCGGGCATTGGGTTCAGGCACCTCTCCAAGATATTCCTGGCCCTCACAAATCCTGAGGGTTTAGGGTTTGGGGTTTAGGGTTTAGGGTTTAGGGTTGCTGAACTCATTATATTAAACCCTTTAAAGCCCCTATATAACCCATTATAGTAGTTTCCATTTTCTTTTCCATGATCCCTATATAACCCCTAATTTTGACAACCACCCAGCGAACAAACGAACACCTGCAGACGAGCAGTCAGCGCAGTCATGCTTGACGTCAAGAGGACGTTGTAGCCAGTATAACTTAGGCGGACCCCCCACCCAGTAATAGTGACTTTAAGGGATAATGGTAATTATATTAGGGTCCTCTTATAGTCCTATTATACCACTATCACAGGGTGGGGGGTCCTCCTAATTAAAGCATAACTGCAGACCCTGCGTTGTCTTTTGCACCATTTGTTGTTGTCCATAAATGCAAAAAAATGGACGTCTTCTGAGGAAGCCACAATCAAAATCAGGAAATGACCTGGGCAACAGCACAAGGTTTTACGAGGAGCAACATATGGAAATCCGTTTGGGTTTGGGGATTGGGTCTTAGCTGGCATTAAACAATAAAGATATGTTTTATGGTTTTCACAACAGGACACACCCCGCAGTATAGTTACGTACATACATATATATATATAGACATACACTCACCAAGATTTTGAAGGAACCTGTATACATTCCCACAGCGGTGACATATAACTTGCCCTATATCAAAACCCCTGCTAAAGAAAAAAAACTTCTCAGAGGGTACCCGCACCCCTGCTTAGATCCTGAGACCCGGATAAACCTACAAAATCTACATCATCCTACACACTCCTTACGCGCTCCAACAGCATTTCCCAGTCTTGAATGGACACAACTTTGTTTTTAGGTTTAGGGTTTAGGGTTTAGGGTCCCTTGCGGATCCTGAGGATACATAGGGGCTACGGTCTGGGAGTAGGGCTCTTTTTGAGAAACTCCTTCATTTGGCAGGTGCATGCTCGGAATGGAAAAGCGAGGCTCACGCCTGGAGCTTCTAGCGGCTTCTAGCGGACGCCTGAAACCTGAACCCTGAACCTTGCGAGTTCACCCTACACTCTACGCTTACTTTAAACCTCGGATTCCAATGACACCTGCATATACCCGTAAACTCCTAAACCCTGAGTCGGAGATTTTTCCGAACCGCGGTTTGCCCAGGTGATCTTTGGAGCCTTTGCCCTCAGCAACTCTGCAACATCACCATGGCCCGACTCTTCTGCGAGCATAAGGGCTGTATAGCCGTCATGACGCTGCAGGCCCTTGTCAGCGCCAGCTTCCAGAAGCAACCGTGCGACATCCACGTGGCCATTCTCAGCTGCAAGCAATAGGGCTGTGTAGCCGTCGTAACGCTGCAGTGTCAGCACCAGCTTGCAGAAGCAGCCGTACGATCTCCGTATGGCCGTAGTAAGCTGCAATCATTAGGGCTGTGCAGCCGACGTGACGCTGCAGGTCCTTGTCGGCACCAGCTTGCAGCAGCAGCCGTGCGATCTCCACATGGCCATTCTGAGCTGCAAGCGTTAGGGCTGTTTCGCCGAGGCAATCCTGCATGTCTTTGTCAGCACCAGCTTGCAGAAGCAGCCGTACGATCTCCACATGGCCTCTCTCAGCGGTGAGCATGAGGGCTGTCCTGAGCAGGTCATCCTTAGCATTCTTGTTGGCACCAGCCTCCAGAAGCAGTCGCGCGATCTGCAGGTTGCCTCGAGCGCAAGAGTCGAGAAGCTCTCCTGCAGCCTTAAGCTGCTGAGCCTCGTTGGAAGGGGTTACCAGGATTAACTGCAAGTTCATGAGGGCGTCCAGCTCAAAGGAATTCTCCAAGCTGTTGCCATTGTGCAGGAGCTGTTGCATGCACGTCGGGAAGCCGTGCAGTTTGCACAGTGAAGCTTTCAAATGTCGAACATCCGAAATGTCCTCGATGCTGACTGCAGGCAGCTCCTGCCCCGACACCCGCCATATGCGAAGCATTCGGGCAAGAAGGCTCAACACCAGCTGTCTGTTGATTCACTGCAGCTGAATTTGTGTGACAAGGCAATGTAGAGGACATGCAGTACATACTACATGCTCAACCTTGAATCACGAACCGAGAGGGGCAGAGGGATTTGTGCAGGGGTCACTGTAAAGCTGAGGGTTCGGCTTTGGGTTTGGCATAATGGAGAAGAAAATGGAAGCTACTATAATGGAGAATCAAATGGAAAAGAAAATGGAAAATGAACTGGAAACTAGGGAATATATTGGGGTTCTATTGAGGTTTTATTCAGCAACCAGAACCCTCAAATCAAGTCCCACACTGCACCTTTGCTTGGATCCTCACAGAATAGTCGGAAAGCCAAGGTCCCTTGCTTGGGGTCCTTATGACAGAACCCTAAACCCTAAACCCTAAAACATATCCTTGGACACATCTGAGGCTGAGGTGCCGGTACAGTCGGCAAAATCTTCAAGCGAGTAGTGTTTTTTTGGTGGTTAAGATAATACTCTACCCCAAGAGGAGGATATAATCTTACCCTATATTGGGTACTATAGTATCCCCAAATAAAATACTACTCAAGAGAGGGTTTCTTAGATAAGGCAGGCAAGTAGATGCTCCTTGGGAACTGGAAGGATGTATGGACTCCTTGGGAACTGGAAGGATGTATGGAGATTACATGGGGATCAAGCATGGAAGTCCCTGCCAAAGACTCTGGATGTGTAATTTTGAGCAACTACCAGCTGGGGGATTTCAGTACTGTATGAAACTTGCTTTGAAGATGGACATCGCAAGCTGCAGGAGTTCCTACAATCCACAACCCTAAACCCTAAACCACAAAGGTTTAGGTTAAGGTTTTAAGGTGAGGCCCAGCCTGACGAAACAACAACACCTTTCTCAGCAAGCAGCGTGCGCCATTGCGGCAACTCCCCGTGGAAATCCTGCACAGCGCTTGGTGCTACAGCAGCTGTTTATAGAAAGTCTTAATTCTGAACCCTACACCCAAAACCCTTTGGGGCCAAATGTTGTGGCTTGGTGTTACAGCTTACGACCACGCGCAAGCTGAATCTAATATAATCTTATTACGCCCCCAGCTGGGTGGCATAGGCGCGGTGCTGACAAATGAGTATTGCTTATTCACAACCGTGCAACACGAAGCCTTAAAGTTTCCTCTGGTTAGCAAGCAACGAAGGAATAAAGGAATAGATGCTTGTAGCAATCCCTATACAACCGCTTCCATCTTCTTGTCTATTCCCTCATTCCCTGTTAACAAGAGGTACGTAATTTCAGAACCTGTCACCCCGGAGCTCAGCGTCTCAGCCCAACCTCATCACCATAGTCCCAACAACATTAGCTTATGCACCACAGAAGAAACTTCAAAACCTCAATCCTAACCCTGAAGCTATAAATCCTAAACCCTGCAATAGTCCGAAACCTTGAGCCCTAAACCAAACATCCTACATCCTACACCTTAAGCCGAGACCCTATTCAAAACCTCAGCCCTACATCTAAAACCCTAAATCCAAAATCCTAACCCTAAAATCGCAAACCCTGAGCCTGAACCTCACAGTCCAAACCCGAAACGGATTGTGCTGAGGGCGGTCCCAAGCTCCGAACACGGCAGCCCATTGAAGGATGAAGGACACGCAACGCATTCACAGAAAAGGGGTCCCTTTAAAGGGTTTAAGGTTTAGGGTTTAGGGTTTGGGTTTCACAAGAGATTAAGGGTCCCTATAAAGGGGCTATCTAGAGTAGGTTTAGGGTTTAGGGTCCTAGCTAGGGTAGGTTGGGGGGCTCGGTAATAATTAGCTCGTTTTGGCGTTAAAGAGATCATGCGGAAATGAAAAGTAGTAACATCAAGCATCATGGCCAAACCTACCCCTGGTATAGGAGAGGTTTAGGGTTAGGAGAAGCTGTATTGGGATACATAGGGCTATGTAAACCCAGATAATCTTCAAGCCCTTCACTGCTCTTCTGTGATCTCCTGTTGATTCCACCCTAAGCCCTACCTCTAAATCCTGAACCCCTAAACCCTAAACCTCAAAGCCTAGACCCCAAACCCCAACGCCTAAACCCTAAACCCTAGACTCTAAACCTTGAACCCTGAACCGAAGGCTCTGCTGTAAATTTGTCCTATGAATGCGGGCTACTCCTGTCGGGCTTGGAGTCTTGGAATAGGGTTAAGGGCCAAGGGTTTAGGATTACAAGATTTGATGTGGAGCTTGGGGCTTGGAATAGGGTTAAGGGTTTAGGCTTACGAGATTTAGTGTGGGGCTTGGGGCTTGGAATGAGGTTTAGGGTTAGGGGTTTGGGATTTCGAGATTTAGTGTGGGGCTTGGGGCTTGGAACGTAGAAAAGAAGGCCAGGATTCCAAAGTCTTCATCTTGGTGTCTATGTTTCAGCAACTAAGGCATCAGGGTTACTGTTCCGACTGTTCGAAACTAAAGCGGACAATGTAGGGGGATGAAGCGTGCACAGAGCCTACGTCTGAGCTGATGGCATAAAGATGCATGAAGTTGAGCAAAAAGGCGATACATCCCAACTCTGCGACAAGACAACACCAACACCCCGCCTCTTCGTGCTTTGTGGAGGTTGTCTAACCCACGTCAAAGTATGGTTTGTACATATATCTGCTATGAACAATATGGTAATTTCCCAAAATAAGCGGACCCCAATGTAGACCCCAAAAATACTGTAGTCCTTATTATGGGGGCCCCAAAAAGGTACCCCTAATTTTGGGAAACCCCCCATATGCAAACGGGCACAACTGGCTGCCGGCACCCCCTCCGAAATCACTTCCGCGCGTCTTTTCTCTCAGTGCAAAAAACCTCCGAAGGAGCAAAGCACCGGACCGGGAACTTTCATTTGAGTCGTGTTTTTTTGGTGGTTGAACCTAGTAAGATTACATTCCTTACATAAAATACTATACNNTATATTGGGTACCATAGTACCCCCAGATAAAATACTACTCATTTTGTTCTTCAGGGAATCAACGAATGCAACCGTATCCTGAACCTTGCCTGCCCCATGCGAGCAAGTCCATTCCTGTTATCTGAAACGGCTGGCTGCTAGCGCGCGTCCCTTCAGAAAGCCGGTCAACTTTTGAACTCATTGCCCCATTTGCAGGCCCACGCTCATCGGGCGCCACTTCCCATCCTCACATGTATGCGTACAAGCAGATCCTACATCCGGAATCCCTGTCCACTGAGTATCCTCACAGGCTACCAATGCTTATGGAAACCCTGTATGTCCACCGCAGTTCTATGAGCCATGCAACCGACGAAGATGTTTTCTGAGGGGGCCTCGTTGCGCCACAGTTTCTTCTGGTGGTTTGCCAGACTCTGGATTTGTTCCTGCTGCTTGCCGCCTGGGGATGTTTTCAATGTTCCACTCTGCGTGAAGTAGCAGTCAGGATAGCTGAGAAGAAACATCGATAGCCAACTTTGGGTGCATGTGCTGCTGCCGCCAAACAATTGGTAGTTTCCATAAATGAAGGGACACCAATATAGACCCCAATATACTACAATCCTTAGGGCCTCCAAAAAGGTAACCCTCATGTTCAGCAAGAGTCAGATAAGCCAGGTCACGGAAGTCAACCGACCTAAGCAAGGTTTCCCTCCTCTTCCTCCTAAGGCGGTAGGGTTTAGTCACCCCCTAGGGTCCCCAGCAAGTAATGCAGCATCTCAACAGGCTCCCTTGTTCCCTCTGCCAGGAGAACCAGCAGAGGATTTCGCAAGTCGGTTGCTAGCCAAGCGAGACGCTTTGGAACGGGGGGAACTGGAAGCTTTGCACAGGTTGTTGCCCTTGGAGGTGGCTCCTAGAGGGGAAGGAGGAGGCGAAGCCACGGCTTTTGTCCTAGGTGCCTATTGCAAAGGGGGATTAGTGGGCCTGAGGAAGAACACTTCCAGCATGCCGCATGTTTGCCGCACCTTGACCCGGTATGTGGATCAAGTGCAACCGGGGTTCATCTTTAGTACCGTGGCCCTATTCCAGGGGGTCAAAACTCCTGTTCATAAGGATAGTCGCAACGCCCCCTTTCCCAACCTGGTTACCCCGGTGGGGAAGTTTTCCGGCGGAGCAATATGGATTGAGAACTCCGAAGGATGCATCCCCGAGACCACGCCTGGGGGTATAAAGATGGGTCGACTTGGAAGTAGACAATGGCCCTGCGACTTTTAATGCCTTCGACTCCTTCCATTTCACCGGTGCTTGGAAAGGAAATTGCCTGGTGTTAGTGGCATACACTACGGATAAGACTTCCGATCTGACTGCATCAGACGTCGGCCTTTTGCAGGAGCTGGGCTTCAGACTTCCTCCTGTGGGGGTGAGACATCCGAGGCCTTGGGTGAAAAGAGAGGGATCCAGGCGCCGATAAAGTCAGTCCACCCGGAATGGTGCGGAACAGAGGTTTGCCTGTCGTGGCGGAGCGGGAGAATCACTCTGAAGCATTCACTGACGGCTTCGGGCTATGCTCGCCCACGCGGCGGCGGCCTGGCGATCGGGGAGGTTCCCTTTCCTCTTCGGCCCGGAGTGTGTGCCACTCACTCCATCAGTTGGTTCTTGACTTTGTTCATGAGCAGGTCAAGGAGCCTCGAGCCCTGTGTCAAAGCCTGTAAAACGGAGAGCTGGAGGAAAGCCCTTTCAGCGTCTTCGGCAGAGGTGGTGCCTCTTGGTGGGAGGTCCCGACTGGAAGCATCTCGTGGAGGTACCGCCTGGACAGCCCTTCCTGTTGAGAGCTTTGGCCAGAACGGCGGAGATTATGGGCCACCCTGATTGGGAGATCTTGACAGAAGGCACCGATAACTACTGCACTGGGGTGCCCCTGGGTTTTAAGGAGCATATCCCCCACCTTCCTCAGGTTTATGATCATAAGACTAAGTGGAGAAAACTGGATGAGGACCTCCCGGAATGGGATAGACCCAATTACAGTAGTGCCTCCCTTAATTCC